GTGCAGAGAAGCCAGAGAAACCACAGGAGGGTCTGCGGCCACACCCACTGCCCGTGCCACCACCTCCAGGGTGCCCGACACCTCGTGGGCAGTCCAGACGGGATCCGTTAGAACATTAGAGCTTTATCGTACCCGAGTTACATCTTCTTTTTTGTAGAAGGATCTTAATTTCCCATAGTGCTATGGGGCTCTTTTGTAAAATATGTGTCCATATTAAAAAAGAAAAATGTATTTATTCTACCGATAAAACTATTTTTATGTGGCCTATGTTAACCCTTTAATTAGCCCCAACACCAACCCAGGAAGGGAACCCAGGCTGCCAGGACACCTGCAACCTCATGCAGACCGTGGCTTTTAACCGGCTTGCTCCTAGATCGGCAGAAGCCTCCGGTGCCTCGGTTTGGCTTCTCCCGCCACGGGGTCCTCAGAGAGAGGGGCAGGCAGACAGGCTTAGCTTTTGTGAAGCTGGATTGGGGAGCCAGAGATGTGAACGCCGACGATCCTTCCCTCCCGTGGATGCATCCTAGGGTGGGAAGATACTTTAGGAAAAGAATGCTGCTATTTTGAAAACCCTGAGTGTCTGTGAACTGGCCCTCCAGAGTTCTTGGTAAGTGTTTTGACCAAAGCACAGGAGGAGGGGAGGGATGTTGGCGCTGAGGGAGGTCATCCCCCAGCCCTATGTGTCAGATGGTTACATTGAGATCCAAAGAGAGGAAGGTGGTTGCCCAAGGTCATGCAGCAAGTGGGAGGTCCAGGATGTGAATCCAGACCTTTCTGTTCTGGCATCATTCATCTTCTGTAAGCTTGCCTTACAGAAGAACCTGTTGAAGTCATAGCCAAACAGAGTGAGCTGGGCCAAAGGACAGGAGTGGGCATAGTAGGGACAGGGGCTCTAGGAGTCACATGGTAATAATAACCCTAATGAAGGCCACCATTTATCCAAAGACTGCATCGTGGCAGGCACTTTGCACACTCACTTTATCACTGATCCTCATGCCAGTTCTGTGAAATGTGATTGTCCCCATTTCACAGATGAGGAAACTGAGCCCCTCAAATAGATCAACAGACTTGCTCAAGGTCACCTAGCTGGGACGTGGCCCCAGACCAGCATGATTCAGAAATGATGCTTGTCCCTGGGCCATATTTTGCCATGTTCTCTCTGCACAGAGAAGCTTCAGGGAAGGCAGATCTCACCCAAATGGGCCAGCACAAGCTTCTTGCTCCAGCCAAAGAGACCACTTGGCCACAGTCACTCATGTTGGCCCCTCTGAACAAAGGACTCTAGCAACAGCCTGTGCCACGTGTCTCATGCCCCAACTTGTCTTATCTCGGAGACAATGAGAGGCTTTCCTATCAAATGAGAGGCTGTGGGGTGGGGAGTCGGGGAGGCAGAGCAGCCAAATGGGGCAGGCAGGAAACTGAGACTCAGAGAGACTGACCTCCCTCCTCTGCCTCCAAGGCGGTAGCTGAGAAAGCAGAGGTCTGAGGTTAGCTGCCTTCCAGCCCTAACTCCTCACAGACTTTGGGAAACTGAGAGCAGAAAGGGCCCCTCATTTGACAGATAATACCAGTAAGAGTAATATGGAGTCCCAGGTCTGCTGACTCCGAGCCCCGTGCTACACAGCATCACCGCACCGTGGGTTTTCCCGGCAGGCCTGGCATTGGCTGATTAGACCCAATGCCGTTATGCCCAGTCCAGCAGCTGTCTCCCTCCTGAGATGGAATTCTGGGCAGCTTATTGGATGGTCAGAAGTGCCATGAGCATCTAGGCCAGCAGCTAAATTCTTTTCATCTCAGCCCTGGATGGACGTGTTTGAGCTTGAGATCTGGCAGGAGCCCCGAGATCTGCTTCAGAGGGTCCAGCGGGCCCCATGGGCACCACGCTATAAACTGAACTTGACCCCAACCAGGGCTGGAGTCCGTTTATCTTTGGCAGAAATGTGACTTCCTGTTTCTGAGTGGGAAAGGGTTTAGCTGACTTATAAAGCAGGCACAGAAGGCCTGTTGGACATCAGACAGATCGTGCAGAGCACTCTTTGGATGAGATAAGTGTAAAGGAATTAGAAACACATAGGCCAGATTTCCCTCTGTTCAGGGCAGAGTGTGGCATGAGATGCACCCTGATAGAGCTTGAGGTTAATTAAAGATGAAGCATTTGGGTAAACAGTCCAGGTACCTGACTACATGCCCAGATCTGTGCCAGGCGTGGGGCCAAAGAGGTAAATTAACACAGTGTGTGACTATCGAGCACACACAGTGCCAGGCTCTGTGCTGGGGCCTAATCTGTGCACCTTGCCTGTCCCGGACGAAGTCCTCATCGTCGCGATGGAACAAGCAGACCAGTCCTACGTTCCTAGAAGCAACTTTAGAGGTTCTCCTATCTAGGCCCCTGACCACAGACAGACTCAGCCCTCACCTTCCCCAGATCCCTCCTCTGGACAGACTGGGAGATTCCAAACTTTCCCTCAAGCAAGCACTCAAGTGTTTAGAGAAAGATGGATGGCGGCAGAAGGGTAGGCGGGCTGATTAGGTAGGCATGTGCCAACGGGACAGGCCAGAGCCCATGTCGACCCGACATCTACAGCCTAAGTTCACCGATCCCTGAGGCCCACCCACCGGCCAGGGTTTGAAATGAACTGAGCTTGCTGACTTATGTCCCAGAAGACCTGAGGCGTCTGTGGAAATCCGCTTAGCTGGGGCACTGGAATTCTCTCATCCCGAGCCAGGGAACCACCACTCCGTCAGTAGCCACTTACACACTTTGCACGATCTGTCCACCACTGCTGACATTTTTTTCCGGCACGTTCTACGTGTCTAGCCTCGTAAAGTCCCCTGTTGCTCTGAGAGCATCTGTGTGCCTCTCTTACGGCTTTTGTGTTTGGCCTTCAGGTGGCAGAGAAGATGGAAGGACTGAGACCCAGTGGGTTAAGTGACCTGTCTGGGATTAGGCAGCATGTTAGTGGTGGCCCTAGGTCCCCTGTGTCTCAGGAAAACTGACCAAATGACCCAGGGGCGTTCGGGGAGCTGTCAGCATGGCCATGCACTTCTGGTTTTCCTCCAGGCTGCTCTGGTGCACCAGCAGCCAGGTGAAGGCAGGGAGAATGGAGACGTTAGGCTGCCGGGAGCTGCAAAGGGCCACCAAGGGCCCCTCCAGCACTGAGATTCAAAGATCCGGAGTCTATGAAGCGTGGAAACTTGCACTGACTGGAAAGTTTACCTTTGCACCAAATAACCACGAGCCGATTTTTCTCATATGAAATGCTCTGTCATCTCCTGCCTAGCCTCAGCTAGACTTGGGCAAGCCTCAGGGCTCAGGACCCTTGTTCTGCCTGCCCAGTCTCCAGCCCGGTGCCGTTGTCACAATGGATCCCAAAGAACAGTCCTCCACCACAAGGAAAGTTTGTGAAAACCACCTGGAAGGCCAGAAGTTCCACCTGGGCATTGCAGCTTTGATGGTATCCTGTGTGGTGAGAACAGAACTGGGGCCGGTGATAGCGAGTGTGGGATAAGAACGGAAGCCCTCGGCCTGGCCTTCCAGACCCTCCGTGATCAGACCCTGCTGACTCTGCCAGCCATCCTATTTGTCATTTCTAGAATAGACAGATGTTTCCTGGACCTGGAAACTCCCTTATCTTTCCCCAGATCCTCATTTTTTGACGATTAACTCAGATAGCGCTTCCTCCAGGAAGCCCCCTGTGATTCTTCTGTGCTTTTTTCGCATCTATCACAACACCCACTGATCAGTGTTGAAACTGTGTAATAGTGTACCTGCTCTCCTATCAGACTGTGAGCTCCTTGGTGGCAGGGGTCACGTAAATTCATCTACGTATCCTCGCCTGACATGAAGGGGGCACTCAGGAGATGTGTAGAGAGAGAAGGAGGATGAAAGGAATGAAGAGAGGAAAGGAGAGAGACGGACCTTAGCTCTGCTAGAGGAATAATCTCTACAAAGCCAAAGCTGTCCCCTGCAGGTGGTGAGTTTCCTGTCAGAAGAGGTGTGAGCAGGGCAGTAGGCCCGCTGGCTGGAGATGTGGCACGAGAGCTGAAGTCTTGGCAAGAGACTGGTGTAGATGACATTGAGGGTCCCTCCTGGCTCTGTAATGCTCAGGTTCTTTGAACATTGTTATTTTTCCAAAAATTAATCTAAGCAGCCAAAAATATCACCCGGGCTGGCCGTCTAAACCAGTAGGGTTCAGGAATCAGTCCAGCCTCACACCCCCGTTCTTCAGCAGCCCAGCCAGGCCTGACGTGAATTGGCAGGCTTGCCTGCTACCCTAAGGCGGGGGGGGGGGGGGCTGGGGGTGGTGGGGGAGGGCTGGACTGGAACCCAGGGCCCCTGGCCCCAGCCCGGAGCTGCTTCCCTCCCTGCTCTCAAGCATGTGGGGAGGGAAGAGAATGAGCCGTGAGGACTGACTGACCCCCTATCTGGCCCTTTCTGGGGAGCATCAACCCGCCCTCGGATCTCCCCATCCTTTATCCAAACGTTGGCTCTTCCTCTCCAGAGGTGCTCTGGATACTCCTTCACGTTGCTGGGTGACCTTGGGCAAGTCTCTGCTCCTTTCTGAGCCTCCATTTCCTCATCTGTTAAATGGAGACCTAGTTTCCTGCCTGTGCTGTTCTAGCACGCAGGAGTGCTGTGTGCAATCTCAGGGCCCCATGAAGGTGAGGTGCCACCGCCCTTTTGGCTCAGCGATCGGCTTTCCTCCCAGGCCCCACGGGCCGCTTTGGGATTGGGACTATGTCACAGGCAGGAAAGGTGGTGGAGTAGCGTACCTTAAGGGTTGCTCCGTCCCCAGACCCGCTGCGGGCAAAGTGGGCTTTGGATGGGACCCGAGTCTCAGACATTTCCGGCGAGGCTGTGGGACGTCTTGGGCCCCAGTGGCTGGGGCAGCAGGGCCTGACTCCTGGCCAAGGGAGGTTCCAGCTCAGAGGAGGGGCAGACAGAGCTCCTGCCCCATTCCCGGGCCTCAAAGAGATTGCAGAAGGTCCCCTGCTGACTCATTATGTGACACAAGCTTCAGCTCTTAGTGTATTTGAAAGATACTGGTGATGTTGTTCTTGTAACCACCTCTTCCCCTCACCTCTGTGATTTGTCATGAAGAGTCCTTTAAGAATACAGAAGACAAAGAAAGATGCTATTAATGTTATTTTGCCAAAAATATTTTTGTAGCGTAATATATTAATAAAAGACATATGAACTCCGCGGGATGGTGTCTCTGTGTGCTGGTGGCTCCCTTCTCCTGCCGGGGAACATCTGGGGAAGTCACCTCTGGAGGTCCAAGACCGGAGGCAGTGGTTTGGAGGAGCTGGAACGGGCCCATTTTCCATACAGAAACTTGGGCAGATTCTGGGAGGGTGGCGTGGGCAGGGGTCCAGTGACTGGAGAGGCCTCAGGCCAAGTGGGATCCAGATAGCCCTGTCCAGCCAGAATGAGCTGCCCACGGGGCCAGGGAAGGAGTTGCCCACGTGAGCCACAAAGCTGGGATCTGGGGTTCACCCTCAGGGCCCCCTTTCCCTCACTCCCTCACTCACCAAGACCAACCAATTCTTCCTTATTCACCCTCCCCCACTGCTCCACCCCAGCCCAGGCGTCTCAGCCCTCTCCTGAACCACTGCCACCTACAGCTGTGCTCCGCAGTCCCCTCCCCCTCCCACCAGGCCCTCTGTGACCTGGCCCCTTCCCGGCATGAAGCATCTCTACCGGGAAGTTCTCAGTTTTCCGATTCCTTTCCTGGTACTCAACACTCCCATTACTGCCTCCCTCCATGTTTCCTAAATTCATCCTAGCCTTCACCGCCCCTCGCCTTCACACATGCTGTTCCCCAGCACTGCCCATCCCTCCGCACCTCCCCCGCTCCTTGCTCGTTGCTCTGTGGAGCTCCTACACATCCTGCGTGGCCCGGACCTGGTGGTGTCCGCTCCAGGAAGCCTAGGCTCCTGAGCGGAGGTAGCCACTCCGCCCCCTCCCCCACCCTGTTCCCACAGCACCTGCTCCCTGTGCACCTGGCTTGTGCTCAAATGACACGATGTGCCTGCCCTGCCCCTCCCCTTCCTGGGCCAGGACCGTGGCTGTTCATCTCTGAGTTCTCAGCCCCGAGCACAGGACTTGACAGCTAGTGGGTACCCGTGGAAGAACGGTGGAGTCAAGGAGGAAGGAGAGGAAGAAGAACGGGAGGGAAAACCGATTAAAAGCCTCCTTCTCTATCACAACCGACGTCATAGTTCAAGCGTCAGCGGGCTGGGCTCTCCAGATGGTGCTCCTGCACAAGTTCCCAGAGGGAAGACTTCACCCCTGGGCCTTGGGAGAGGGGGCAGGTCCTGAGACACTGGGAGCGGGAGAAGCCTCCCCGTGTTCTGAAACCACAGGGCCTTCACCAGAGGTGGTTCGCTGGCCGTGGTCGACGCGCTCTCGCTGGCTCCTACCAAGAGTTACACGGACCGGCCGTGTGGGACCCACCTCCAGAAAAAGGTAATACAGACGATACGGCCGGAGCTAACGCGTAGCGCGCATTTGTGATGCACAGTGTTCTAGACATTCACGAGCCCGAAACCGTTTCTTTCTCACGACTACTCCCCGCTGTCTCTGTTTTACAGATGAAGGAGTTGGGACGCAGAGAGCTTAACCTGACCACAATCACATAGCTTGTAAATGCTGGAGCCAGACTGGAGCGCCAAGGAGTCAAGCCCCAAGACTATTGTGTTCGCTTTCACTCGGCTGTGCTGAGCTGCCACGTGTGGGCTCGGCCCGTGAGGAGGGCGAGGGGGTGTCCGCGTCCCCATCGCACAGGCCAGGTGGGCTAGGTCGGGACCCATCCGTGGCCCCGTGCAACGAGCCTCTTTCTCGTCGTGGAGGCCGGCGAGACCTCCGTCCCGCCCACCCGACTCTGGATGGAGGTGCACGAAGGGCCCTCGCCTGCTCCCTGCCCCGCGCCGCCACACTGGTCTGCGGGGTTGATACCAGTGGTCTGAGAAGTCCTGCTGTGGCCTGTGACCCCCATGTCCTCTGGCCCTCACACACCAGCTGCTTTCATGAAATGAAGCTCCTGCCTCTACCTGCCTAGAAGCCCAGTGGGAGAGTGAGCCCTTGCCCTTCCTTGGGAGACATAGTCCTCACGTGAAGTGCTCCCTGCAGGACAAGCTGTGGCCAGGAACGGGGTCTCAGAAACGATGGAATGGGTGACTAAGGGGACAAGCAGGTGGCAAGAGGGAACACTCAAGTGTTTGTACGCAGTACACTCGAGGGTCTGCGCTTCCTAACCTGGGAGCCCCAACGCCCCCTCCTGCCCTGACAGACCGAGTCCCTTGCTCTGAGCTGGCTCCCACTGAGGTGCTCTACTGGAGAGAGCCAGGCTGCCCGGTCTCATATTCGAGCGTTGGATGCAGGGGAACCCTGTCTCAGCCCCAAATCTCTGCAGAGCCGCTCCAGACAGGAGGCTTCTCTGTACAGATACAAAACTCAGAGCTGAGCCCGTGGGGGAAGCCGCGGGAAGTTTCCAGCTCCCAGGAGCTGTCCCTAGCGGCCCATACATCCTGTCCCCCACACCCCACCCCACAACCAGGTCACAGTGCTGAGGAGGTAGTAAGTTCTCTGGCACGGGAGGTGTGTGACGGGGTAACTCTCAATGGAGAAGAGATTCCCACCGCAGCGTAGAGGCTGACCAAGGCCGTCTCTATCTCCCTCTCCTCTACCTGTCCCTGTTGCTGTCTTGTACATACCTCTGTGCCCTCACTCCTTATCCATCTTTCTATTCCTCGATGCCCTCCTTCCCACCCCTGAACGTCTGCAGCCCTGCCGCCAAACCTTTCAGCTGCACCGTCAGACAGTACCCTGCCCGCCCCCCACACCCCTGCAATGAGGACCACAGCTTCGGCTCTGCCGTGGTCTGCTTGTGTGGCCTTGGGCGAGCTCTGCCCCTCTCCGGACCTCAGTCTCCTCTTTTGCATGGAAGGAGGAGCAACTTGTGTTCACTAAATCCCTCTGAGAAAGAGCAACACCTCTGGAAGACTGCCTCACGGGGGTTTGAGGTAGAAAGGGAAACTAACCTCCCTCTTTCACAGGAGGGGGAGGGAAGATACTCCTTATGCTCAAGGGAGGAGTTTCATCATTTTGTTCCTGAAAAGAAGGGCAAGAGAAAGCAGGAATGGAGAGAAGGAAGGAGGAGGGGCGAGGAGTGAGGAAGATGGAGAGGCACCGAGGGCGGTGGGAACGAGGCCTTCCCACTGGGGAGAAAACCTGCAGATGGCGGTTGTTTTCCTGGCTGCCGTGGGAACCCCAGCTCCATCTGCCCTGCCAATCTCCAGAACGTTCCCCGCCGCTTGTAAAGATCTGGGATGGGGAGAACCACGGAAGGGGGCTGATTTCATGGCCAGGTCGGCGTGGTGTGAGGCAGATGTGGCAAGGTCAACGACAGGGAGCTGGAGGCCAAGAAGGGCACAGGAGTGAGAGCCCCCGGGAATTCAGGGACTCCAGGAGGGCTTGGACCTCAGCCACAGCGCTGGGTGTCCAGGATGATCCTAACCAGGCATGCTGGAGCAGGAATGCCTGAGCCACATCCGGGCTACAGGTAGACAGAAAAACTAAGCGTAGATGGGCCATGGGCTTCCGTGGGCTAAGGGCTATGGGAGCTCCAGGGTCCCCTGAGCCAGGCAGGAAAGCCTCCCCGACATCACTACTTCCAGGCCTGCCACAGCAGAGAGCGCACCCTGACCTGGCTGACCGGGGCCGGGCCGGGCTCCGTGGGGCCAGGCGAGCTGGGCCGGCCGCTGTTACGGCACCATAAAAAGAGATTATTTTCAGAAAATATTCATAAAACCTTTTTCATGTTGGTTCTGGGCTACAAACGGTTCTTGTGTTTTCTTTTTTCATATTTTCCATTTCTTCCTCCCTGATCAGTCACAAGAAAAGAATGATAACATCTCTGACCTGGACACACCAGCCCCCAGGCAAGCGCCCGAAGGACACTTCTTAACTCTCATCCTCCTGTCTTCCCCAAGACTCTGGAAGGATGGAAGGGGCTGAAGGGGGTGGCAATAAGGGGCGGGGGGGGGGGGGGGGGGGGGAACTGGGGAAGAAAAGGAACAATACACAGAAAGACAGGGTGAGGATCCAGAGAAGGAGCCAGGGACTGAGGAGACAGAGACCGACGGTGCCGGAGAGGTGGAATGGGGAGAAGGAATGAGCAGTCAGAGACAAGGTCAAGGCGGAGGGTCAGGCCCACCAGAATGGGAACACATCAGGTTCTCCAAAGAGCCTGGGACCTGGGACAGAGGCTGGGACGGGGCGGGAGTTGGGGGGCAGGATGTAGGGACCCCTAGGGGAAGGCCCTGGGAGCAAGCCCTCTACTCCTCCCAGGGAAACTTGACAACACGAACTGCTTCCAGGGCCTGCCTGGCTCCCCAGACTCAGTAGAACAGCCCCTCGCTCTTCATCCCCTGTCCCTCTCCCCACCAGGACTGTCCAGGCTCAGCCTGGGGTATGGCTGGTCATCAGGGAGCCGGGGGGCCTGGCCCTGGGCATCGCCTTCCCCTCTCAGTGTCTTTTTCCCCATCTCTTTAATGAGGATACTAAAATTGCTTCTGGCACAGGTTACAGTGAGGTTTTAATGAGATGGTGCAGGTAAAAATGCTTTGGAAACCAAGGCCCAGCACACAGGTTAACTGTGATTGCCACTCAGGCGGGCAGCAGAGATCAGCCCGCAAGAAGCCGGGGGCCTGCAGATGCTGCGGCGTGCCCGGGAGCAGGGTGCAAGGTGGCAGCTGGGGACGATATGGCCAGAGAGATGAGCCAGGGCAGGCCCGGACCACTTGCTGCGCACATCTAGGAATTGGTACAGTATCAGGGAGCCAACGGGGGCCAGCGGTCAGCTGTGTGACCCTAAGCACATCCCTGGAGCTCTCTGGTGTGCGGTCGCCCAAGGATTCGGTGAGCTAACTCACGCAGGGTGCTGAGAGCCATGCCTGCCACAAAAAAGTCAGGGCATGCCAGCATTATCGTCTTTGATGGATCTGTGGCCTTGCTAACCACCCTGGCTTCCCTGTGAGGTGGTAGGGGTGGGTGGGTCCTGGCCTAGGGCGAGATAGGAAGAGGGGCAGAGAAGGAGGGGGGCCGGCTCTCAGGAGCTGATTCTCACACCGCAGTCTATGCCTGAGACTGGTCCCGCGCCTGAGTTCTCAGGAGAGGTGGGGGTGGAGGAGACGAACAGTGCATCCCTGGGGACCTAACTGAAGGGACCCACTGGCTTCGGACCTAGAGCATGCAGGGAAGGTTGTGGCAGGAGGCTGGGCTCGGGTGGTGGCTGGGGTCCGGTGTGAGAGGTTGTCACCTGCCAGCTGTGGCACTGGACTTTGCCCTGGGGACAGCAGGCCGCCCAGGAAGCTTTAGCACCAAGTGGCATGAAATTGTGTAAAAGCCTGATGCCCTGGGCCTAATCTCATCCTCCCACTGAGTCCCAGTTTTCCCATCAGCAGCATGCGAGAGGATAGCCCTGATCCCACAGAGTTACCATGAGGGCCTAGGATATGTCAGTATAGAAAGGGACATTATAAAATATTTGTAATAAAATGGGACATTGAACCTGGAAGGGCTAAGAAACCCTGCTCTACGTATTTCTTTCACCCATGAAAAATGAGAAGTCCTGAGAGATTGTGCCAGATCCTAGGATCTTCAGCTAACGTCCTTTTACCTTATTTTCTACTCCAGCCTTTTCTGCCTGATTTTCCAAAAGAGAGTAGCACCCTTCAAGGAGTAGGGAGGTAGAGTGATACATTGCAAAGAGCAACGGGCCTGAGCCCAAGACTCCCTTTGGCTGCTTACTGGTCACCTTTCATCGGGCATGTCCCTTAACCTTCATTCTTATTTGCCTCGTCCCGGAAATGGGGATGAAGATAACTTACTTTGTAGCTTGTAATGGTGACTGAGACGACGGGTCAGAAGTGCTTCATTTCTGCAAAGGCAACATCAATGCGCATTATTATGAGGGTTGAAAGAGGAAAGGGGTGTGTGCCCTGAACTTCCACCATCCCCCAATCTTCACTCAGGGACCCCAAGGGGTGTAAGTGGAAGATTATGGCTAATTCAAGCCCCAAAGTGGGTTTCAGTCCTGCTCTGCCATGGACCTGATTGTAACATTAGGCCAATGACACCCCCTTCTTGAAGTTCAGTTTCTCCATGTGAAAAAAGCAGAACTTAGAGCAGATGATCTTTAAAGAGTCTCCTAGCTTTTCTAGGCTGGAACGTCAAGATCTTCCTCCACCCTCCAACCTCTCAACTCAGCTCCTCGGCTTTGAAACACCTGCTCTAAAGCGTTGGTTTGGGCCACATGCTAAAGCTCACCGACTTGCTGCCACCATTAACGGTTTGCAGCCCAGCAGCCTGACTGTCTTGTAGAAGGGCCATTGACTTCTCCAGGGCGCAGGAGCTCCAGCTCCACATCGATCAAACCCAAAATGTGCAGTAGGGATTTCCAAGCTGTACTACAGACCCCAGACCTCCCTCAGCCCCGCATCCCTAAGACCACCTCCTAGCTAACAGCCTTCACCCGACCCCGGATGCCTCCTCTGGCACCTCAGACACATTCGAGCAGAGCCCATCTTTAAACAGAGGTCCAAAGGCACACCCAGGTATGTGGTGGCTTGTGGCGTGGAGAAAAGGCTCACGGGTGTTTAAAATGGGGGCAGAGAGAGCAGCCATGGGAGGGTTAGAAGGAACCACCGGGGAGGATTTTCCCAGAGAGATGGATACGGACTCCTGCTGGCTGTGTGCCTGTCGGGAAAGATGAGGACATGTGGTAGAGGAGGCGTCTGGGCCGGGCAAAGGCCATTAGCTAGAAAGTGGTCTTAGGGCATGTGGGGCTGAGGGAAGTCAGGGGCCTGAAGCCCTGACTCTTTGGAAGTCCTACTGTGGATTTGGGGTTGATCAACGACTGTCACTAAAAGTCTTTTGTTCAAGAAGATGGAAAAAAGTTTTGTCTCTCTGGGCTACTGAGGCTCCTGAGGAATGCAGGGGGTGTAGCGGGGCCAGGAAATTCAGGAGGCACGGAGGTCTGAGCCAACTCTCCTAGCGGGCCCGGGCCCGTCAGCCAGAGCAGGAAAGAGAAACAAACATGGGCCGCCGGATCCGGAGCAGGCACGAAGCCCCCACTGAAGGAACCCTGAATGTCCAGGCTCGGCCTCCATCTGCGGGGGGCTGCCTGCTGCCGGGCACACAGGCTGCCAGCTCAGACCCGTGTGAGAAGTTCCTCCAGGGAACTGATCGTCCCCCACCCCTTCAAGCACTCCTGCTCCCGGGCTTCCCAGGAACGCAGGCCTACAAGAAGAGGTGCTTTGCCTGCTGTGGTTTATGCGCCATGAAGCCACTCCCTCCTTCTCAGAGACAGCTGCCCAGCCCGCTCTGGCTCCAATATAGCACTTCCCTTTCAGCTTTTGAATTTCAAAGCAAACCTGACTGCAAACAGATGGATGGGGTCATAAAAATCCCCCAAGCAGGGAGCAAAGAGGCTCGTGGTTGTAAAAGAGAGGCTCCTTTGGAAGAACATGTCCCTGCACCCATGCTGGGTTCCTGCCTCTCCAGGCGCCCGCATCCTGCTTGCTGCAAACACACCAGACACGTCCTCTTCGCCTTCACCTATCCCAATTCCACCCGGCTTTCAAGGCTCAGCACCAGCCCAGCGTTTCCCAGGCAACCTTCTACTACCTGCTCTCCCAGACCCTTAACCTTTGCATACACCAGCCAGCAGACTGCTCTTGCCTTTGAGCTCCTAAGGTACTGACTCCCTGTACTCCTTCACCTACTCCATACATCTTGGCATTGCTGGAAATTTTTGTTTACATATCTTATCTCTCAAAATAGATCCAAGGCCGAAGATCAGAAAACACCTTACCCTTCATGACTAATCCAGTGTTGGGCGCGAGATTGATGCTTTTCGTGAAAACGCAACTTTACATAGCTTAAAAAGTAGTAGAAAGAAAATGGAGGGAGTCAGTATTACCAAAGCGGCTGCTGTGGGGACTTATTATGATGCAACACAGGAAGTGTCATTCTACTGAGCAGTGGGGGACCCATTTCCAAGGTGCACTCCAAGCAGGAAGTGACTTCACTCAAAGAGATGCCCTATTATGTCCAGAGTGAAGAGAGTCATTGGCAGAGGGAACAAAGACAGGTCAAAGGGCAAGGAGGTCACGGAGTAACATGAGTGGTAGGACTCATGCAGGCTTTGGAATCACACAAGCCTGGGTTAAATCCCAGTTCTGCTATTTACAAACTGACCCTGTGCAAATGACTCAAACTCTGTGAGCTTCGGTTTTGTTACCTGTAAATGGGAGCGATAATAATACCTATTCTGTAGGATCCGTTGTCAGGAGTAAATAAGATAATGGCGCTCAAGATTGGCTAAGTGTCATCAAAGAGAGCCCTGCAGGCCAGGCAGATGGTGGCAGGGAGCCATCTCTGGACTAGCAAGACGAACTGACACCCAATCTAGTTGGAGGAAGTGAGACGACTCCTCAGAAATTCAGATATTGTTCCCGTTTACTGAGAGCTTGCTATGTGACACCTGACTTGTAAAGAATAGTTCGATCTTCACACCGCCCTTGAGAATGATCATAATGCCACCCAGAGGGCACTGATGTCCTCTTTTTCTTCATCTCACCTTCCTGCCTGGCCTAGCAGAGGCCACTGGCAGCCTCCAGCGAGGGGAAGACATCACAGGGCTTACTCTGAGCTGAACGGAGCTGTGCGGGAGACAAACATTTCGAATTTGGTGAGAAATTTAGATTGATTTTGATCAGGGGAGAGTTTGTAATACAGGAAAAGGAGACTCTTCCAACACCAGATACTGACAGGAAAGCTGTTGGATCCACACAGGACATGATCCAGGGATGGTAAGGGACCGTATAACCAGCTGAAGGGAATGGTTGGGGGAAAGAAATTAAAGTTGTTCTCTCTTTGTACCCCACCGAGTCCAACCAGATCAATCAGAAGTTTATATTTGGCAACCAGGCCAGTGGGGTTGGCCACATAAGCAGCCATCAGTCAGGAAAGGTGAACAAGAAACCAAACCAGACCAGCATGGGGATTCTGCTCCCAGCTGCCTCGGTCACCGTTCTCACATAATCACTGATGTGGTGCTTCAGAACAATTAAACCCAATTATGATTGTGTTAAGTACATAGTAGGTTGTGTATAATTTCATTCCAGGGTAAGGCTCAAACTCTCTCAAAATGGAAGTCCAAGATATATTAAAAAAGAAAAAAAAAGCCTGAAGATTTTGTTGTGTGGCTACATCTGAACAGGAGAGTTTGTCAGAGTCCGGATTCTGAGGACAGAGAGAACCAGGGCATCATCTAGTGGGCACCACCACGTGGCAAAACATCTGCTCAAAGGACTCTCCACACGAGATCCTTGAAAATGGCTCCTCTTGGGCTTAAAATGAGATCTTGATTCACCACTGTGGCACTGAACCTCCTGTCTCACATGGAAAAGGCCAGTATCAACCACGGACAACCACTCTCTTGGGGCCCTTATTTTCTGGGCGTGCCCATGCAGGGTGCTGCTGTGACTCACGCACTCTGCCTGCCCATGGCTCTGAGGTGTCAGTGCTACGGGCCCTGATATATAGACATGGACACTGAGGTTTGGAAAGATCAGGGACCTTTCTTGGGACCTCACAACTGAAAAGTGGCTACAAGAATGAGAATTAAGGCCCATAAGACTCTAAATCTGTGCTTTTTCAACTATCCTAAGTCGGGGTCCGGTCCAGCCTCAGTCCCTGCTGTTTGGGGTCTCAAACTCTGTCGTGTCCCCATCTTACTGGCTTTTGGCCCCTGGCCTGACTCCATCTTTCAAAGAACTGTCCCTAGATGGCCAAGCAGAAGCCTCCTTCTCCTGTGACCCCCTTCACACTACACCACTTGCCCCCTTATAGCTCACGTCAGTCTCACTGATGCAATCCCATTTATAGGTAGCCTGCTGTTTTTTAAATGGCTCCCTCTGTTCGAACCCTCTTCTCTGTCCACGCTCACTCCCTTGGTGACCTTGGCCAATCCCATGGCTCTAAATAGTCTGGGATGAGTCCCAAAGCTACACATCAGCCCAGCCTCCGCCTGACATCCAGCTGATTGAGGGGCCTCTGCACTTGGATGTCAGGAAGCATCTTCAAAATGGAACTTGTGATTTCTGCCCCCAGTCCATTCCTCCCTCTGTGTCCCACCTCAGTATATGGTGCCAGTGTTCACCGGGTCCCTCAGAGCAGACACTGTGGAGTTGATCGTGATTGCTCTTTCCCACACTCCATCATTTCCATGCCGTTGCTTCCACCATTAGAATACATGCAGAAGCGGGGCCACTCTCACCCTCACTACTACCCTGGGCTGAGCTGCCTCATCTCTCCAGCCTCCCAACTGGCTTCCCTGCTGCTCCCAACCCCAGTCTACCTTCCACAAGGTCACATGGTCCTTTTAAATGTAAATTAGATCATGGCAGTCCCCATCCCTGCATCCCGGCATCCCGAGTGCTTTCCCATCAGACTCAGAATGAAATCACCATTGCTTACCCCAGCCAACTAGGCACTCCCTGATCCGGGTCCGGTCTGAGGTCACACCCTGCCCTCTTCTTGCTTACCCCAAGCCAACCTTACTGCTTCTTACCATTCCTTGAACATCCGTCGCACCTTTAAGTGTTAGGACCTGATGCTTGCTGTTCTTTCTGCCCATAATGTTCTTCCCCCAGATCTTTGTTGACATCTTCTCGCCCCCTTCACCTCTCTGCTTCCCTGCCACCCTCTCCCCTGACCATCCGTATAAAGCACTGCCCAGGGCTTTCTCCACCCGTGACCCTGTATGCATTTTCTTCACACCACTACTCCCCACCCGTCCATAGTGCAAATTTCTTTCTGTGCCTGATGTGCCCGCCGACCACTCCTCTAGAAGAACTAGAGCGCCGTGGCTCACACCTTCTCTGCCCCATCTCCACTGGCTGACTCACAGCTCATGCTCAAAAAATATTTGCGGTGTGAACGTTGAAAAGTTCTGCTTGTGGTGACATTAGGGTTACATATGTTAACAAGATGTGTATAATTACAGGCAGATTGGAGGCCTGATCCCAGACCTCAACTCAGGGACTGACCCACTGGCCAGATCTCAGATGTGTGCTCATGTCTATTCCTGGCGGACCCTGAGGAGCCGCAGATGAATAAGACATGCCCCCGGGGATATGACTAGAGTCTGAAGCAAACAACTTTCTTTCCAACTCTGTGTGAGTGGACCACCAGTTAACAGCAGGGTTTCTCAACCAGGGACTGCTGCCCCACCCTTGCACTATTAAGGACACTGTTCTGGGTCACAGTGGCAGGAACCACCACAGAAGCAGTACCAGTGGCCATGAGCGCTGACACGGATTGAGTTCATCTTTAGGCGCAGCCTGGCACTGAGTGTTAGGGATGCCGTGGGTGGTAAATCAAACACAGGCCCTGCCTGCAAGGGATTCAGTCCAGTGGGGCATAAATAAATATGTTAAGGGTGGTGATTTCCAGATGGGAAAACTGAGGCTCAGAGAGGGAGACTTCATGCAAGTTAATGACAGAGTCAGAGAACTGTACCTTGGTGAGGGGGATGGGAGAGGGCTGGAGTTGGGCGAGAAGGACCTCCATTTATTGTGCCAGGCTCTGGGCTTTGTGCTCCATTTGGAATACCTCATTCTAGTCTCTCCACAACCCTAAATAGGATGTGTTAGTATCCTCTGTTACAGGTAGGAAAATTAAGTCCCAGAGGAGGTGCAGAGGAAGCCCATGGGCTCCTCGAAGGAATGATGGAACTCACCCCCTCAGACGGCCAAGGGGTGGGGGCACCTGGGTGGCTCAGTCAGTTAAGAATCTGACTCTTGATTTCAGCTCGGGTCATGATCTCACGGTCATAGGATCAAACCCTGAGTCAGGCTCCGGGCTGAGTGTGGAGCCTGCTTAACATTCTTTCCCTCTCTCGCCCTACCTTTCCGCTCCTTCCCCCTCTCAATCTCTCTCTCTCTCTCTCAAAAAGAAGGAGAAGAAGAAGAAGAAGAAGAAAAGAAGAAGGAGAAGGAGAAGAAGAAGAAGATGGCAGCCAAGGGAAGATTCAAAGTAAGAAGAGAAGGAAGAGACAGAGCCACAGGGGAGGTGGGGCAGGGAAGGGATGCCAGGCAGGAAAAGTAGATTTGCCCTGTGTCAGTCATTTGGTCTGAGTCTGACTGAGAGAAGGGGAAGCTTACCACCTTGGCTTCCTCATCCAAATTATCAGATTGGCAGGACAGGCCCACATCTATGTCCTGCACAGTCTGGGGAGAAAAAGTTGAAGGAGGCCTGCAAACTCTGGGAAGGCTACTGGCGGAAAGAACACCTCAGGGCTTCCAGAGCACCCAAGAGGGCCCCCACCTAGACCACGGGAGCAGAGTAGAATTAGGGAAGGCTTCCTGGAGAAGGCGCTACAGGAGCTAAATCATGAAGAATAGCATTTCTGAAAGGCAAAGTCACACAGTTGAGCAGACAGCATGGCACAAATTCAGTCAGCCTCATCAGGACACAGAACACCCACTCCTACCACCCATCCATGCCATCCCACCCCACCAGGCCCCCCACCCCTGTGCCTCTGTCAGCCCCTGGTCCCTGGAGTCTTCTTATTCTGCTGTCCCTTCCCTTATTATTCTTTCCCACTCCTGTGCCCTTCACTCACAGGGGAAGATCTTCACTGAGGCCCTTGGTTGGGCCTCAACTTTCCTCAACTTTCTGCCCGGCCCTGACCTCAGTATGCCAGCCAAACTGACTGCTTCCATGTAATCACCCCTGGTGTCAGCTAATGGGGGTGCCCTCTTCCTCCTCTCATACCTAGGACCCTACCTTCTCCCTCACCTCCTCCAGGGCCTTGACACATCAGTTGACCCTCACTCCTTCGTCTCCTTTGACTCCTTCCTCCAGAATAAAATAAGGCTTAAGTGCTTTCCACCCTGTAACACTACTCCTCCAAGCCATCAAGGGA